CGGGAGTGGAAGGGATGTGAGGGAACATGGTGATGGGTCTGGCGTGGGAAGAAACATGAAAGGGCAGATTGGTGAAGGAAGTGGTAGAAGTAGTTATGTGGGCATGGAGGGTGTTGGATTCGAATCCTACACTATTGGTGCTCCCCCACTACGCCGACTTGCCACTAACTCCCATCCCATTGGAGTTCCCATAATGGGCAGATCTCACCTTTATGGCGACGTCATGCCTCCTCGTGCGCAATGGTCTCAACCGGAAGCTGTACCTGCAGGAAGCATTGGGCGCATGGGGCACGGGATGCAATCAAGCGGAGTTATGCGACGTGACCAAGTGGAGGTGGTGGAACGTGAAGGCACACAACGCACTGTGCAACTGCCTCGACCATCTACCGTGCCAACACTTTTCGACCCGTCTCCTCGCGAATACACCGAAGAAGACAAAGACAGGCTGTCGCGCAAGATGGTGGGAGCATTGGTGGACAAAGCGTTCACCACAACCCCGTTCGACGGCACTAACTTTCGAGAGTGGGCTCTTCGGTTTCGCATGAACGCGCGCGTGACAAATCTGTGGGAGTTTTTCGTGACACTGCGATACCCAGTTACAATGGCGAATGGAGAAATGCGAGATGCAATGGAACGGCTGGAAGCTCTGCAAGCGGATTACTCACAACGTGCTACGCTGGCCTTTTGGGTGCTTCTACATAGCGTGAGCGCAACGATTCAGCTACAACTGGACGTGTTCCAAGAGTCATACAGTCCGGCATTCGAAGCATGGGAGTACCTGATGGAGACTTACCAGGCAAAGGATTCGGTGGCAAAGGCGTCTCTCCAAAGACAATTGGACAACTTGAAGATGGGGAGCCAAGAAAGAGTGGAGGAATACATCAACCGAGCAACTGCAATTCGGGACAAGCTGGCAATGGCAGGAAAAATGGTGGATGAAGATTCATTCACCTTAAATCTGATTACCGGGCTGCCACCACATTGGGAGGAGCTAAGGCATTCGGCAATGCTACACGACATCTCGGATAGCTACACACTACAACGAATGATGATACAGGAACAACGCTACCAAGACCTCATTAGCAAGACCAACCGTGACAAACGTCCTCCCCGCATGGCCGGTCAAGCACGTGGAGACACTTCACCAGCAAAGGAGAGGACCGAGACAGAGGGCAACCAAAATGCGGCAAAATCAACGGGAGGGCAGCATGCGGCGATTGGGGAAAAATCCAAGGACAACGAAGGAAGGAGAGGGCGCTCAAACCTTGTGTGTTGGTACTGCAAGGAACCCGGCCACCCATTCTACAAGTGTCCTAAGGCGCCTCCGGGTTGGTCACCACCAGGTTGGGAACCTCAAAACAGAGGGAGGACAAACCAGCGCACCTGGAGTAGCCGTTCGTCCTCGCCTCGAAGGAGTGAAAGCCCGAAACGTGATAGCCAAGTGTCAAAACAGCAAGGAGCAGTCGGGGGAGACAACAAACGAACCGTTACATGCATTGCAACGGTTCGATCGTCGCAAGCAACATTACCATCAACCGAAGGGTCGATGTGGTTGCTGGACAGCGGATGCAGCCAACACATGACTTCAGAAAAGGATTGGTTTGAGGGACTAGAGGAGCTGAACGAACCCGTTTACGTGGAACTTGCTGACGGAAGCCACCTGATGAGCTCGATGGCGGGAACAATTCGAGCAACGGCACCCGATGGAACAACTGTGCGCTACACGGATGTGCTCTACGTACCCGGCTTGAAGTCCAACCTGCTCTCCTATTGTCAGCTGTACAAGAAGGGAGCTCGAATTCACACACGTGAGGATGGGCACACGGAGATAACAATGGAGGATGGAGATGAACATGTACTCATTGGACTTGGAATGGTCATCCATGGGGTGCTAATGGTGCAATATGAGCCTGCACTTACATCCGCCCATGAATCTGGTCATGATCATCCGAATGACGCATTGAATGCGACTGATCTTGGAGGGCTGAATGTGCAGTCTGCTCATGCATCCGTCACATATCGCATGGCCCACAAGCGCTTGGGTCACCCATCATACACATCCATGGATGCAACGTTTCGCAATGGAGATGTTGAAGGACTCCCCATACCCGACAAGGCAAACCCCGTCAAACCCCCGTGTGACTCGTGTCTTCGAGGGAAGATGAGCAAGGCCCCATTTCCCACAGGTGGCGACAAGCGCACAACTCGACCTTTGGAGCTCGTGCATAGCGATATTATGGACTTGGGTGACGCTCACCCCACACTTCGCTACGTGCTGACGCTCAAGGACGACTACACCAACTGCCTGTGGGTGGCGCCGTTGGCTCGCCAATCCGACATGGCAGCTGTTTTCTCGGCTTGGCATCGCGAAATGAAGACCAAGTTGCCCACGAAGCCGCTGGCTGCCTTACGCACGGACAACGGGGGGGAGTATACCGCAAATGCTTTCACGGATTACCTGAGCTCTCATGGCATCAGTCACCAAACGTCTCTACCACACACACCGCAGCAGAATGGGGTCGCCGAATGGGTCAACCGCACGCTCATGGACCGAGTGCGTGCAATGACCACCGGAGCCAGCCTTTCCTCTAAGTTCTGGCCTTACGCAATGGAGTACGCAGCATGGTTACACAACCGCATCAGCTGCAGCAGCAACCCGTCAGCACACTCACCATACTTCATGATGACGGGAAGGGCAGCAGATGTTTCAATGGCAAGAACTTCTGGATGCCTCTGCTACTATCTCCCTCCCCAAGGCAGCTTTGGGAAGTTCGAGCAAAGAGGAAGAGTTGGCATGTTCCTTGGACTCTCCAACGCTCGGAAGGCATGGATCGTGCGGGACTTGGCAAGCGATGTTGACACGGACACACGCTCAGCTCGATTCTTCGATGACCTCATGATTCCGGACGCTGAATCGGTACTCGAACGACATCGCTACATGGAAGAGGTCTCACCACACATTGACGACTGGACTTCTGAGGAAGGAAGCTTTGAGTCCAAGTTTGACTCATTTCCCGCATCCCCACCATCTCCTACATCGCCCTCGGACACCTCCGCCACACGAGGACAGGAAGCTGACACAAATCAAGAGGATGCACCCACTGAAGACACAACCGATAAGGGAGAAATGGCTGCAGCAAGTGACTTACCTCCAGCTGGCGTCTCTGTTCTTGAAGGCGCTGAAACCAACGAAGTGGAAAATGAGGCACGTCATCTCTATGACTTTGCCTGCGCACCTGATGGGATCGAGCTGGCAGCTCAAGACGCAGCTCCACGGCGAGTTCACTTCAACCCAATTGTGACTGTGCTTGGAGGAGAAGGACAAGGGACGGACAGCATGACAGGACTAGATGTGCTGTCTGGGAAACGACAAGCAGCACAAGCGTTCAACACCCTTCCCAACTTGCCGCAACACGTGCTAGGATGTGCAGCGACCACCGTCCCCGTGGTGGACCTAACGTACAAAGAGCCTAAAATGCTTCAGGAGATGGCAACGGACCAGTACGCACCTCTTTGGCAAGCCGCTGTGGATGCAGAATTGGCCAAGTTCGATGAGTTGGAAGCATACGAAGTGGTGGACAGAGCGGACGTACCAAAAGGAACGCCGGTGCTGACAAAAGGAGTCGTTTTAAGGGTGAAACGAGATGAGCACGGCCAGCCAAACCGGTTCAAAGCGCGCTGGGTGGTCAAGGGATGCGGACAGACATGGGGAACATACGATGGGACGTATGCACCGGTCAGCCAAGGACCTACCTCTCGCATGTTCGTTGCTGGTGCATCTGCTACAAAGTGGAAGGTGGTGCAACTGGACATCTCCAATGCATTTCTGTACGCTCCAATCGATCGGGACATATACGTGAGACCACCAGAACCAAGGCGGGACGGAGACAAAGTCTGGAAACTCAAAAGAAGTGTATATGGGCTGAAACAAGCACCATGTTTGTGGCATCAACACTTACGGGGTGTCTTGTTGGAGCTGGACATGGTGCAATCCGAATCTGATCCATCCTTATTTATCTGGGAAAGAGAAGGAAAGAACACTGTGTGGCTACTCACCTACGTTGACGACATCCTCATCCAGTCTCATGACGACGGCGGCATTGAAGCTGTGATTCAACACTTGAAGCAGCACTTTACCTTGACCATCAGCAAGACCATGACGCAGTTCTTGGGCTCAACGTCGCTGCTGACAACGGCTCGATATCGCTCGGACTCACAAAGTACATCTCACAAGCTTTGGCGACCTTCGGGATGGAGAGCAGCCGTTCCGGAGTTCGGACACCGATCACCAAGGAACCTGGACCACAAGGAGAACCACCGGACGAGATTGATGGTCAATTGGTGCTGAAACAAGTTGGGACATTGCTGTACATTTCAACAGCAGGGAGGCCGGACATAACCTATGCAGCGCATGTGCTGGCCAGCCAAGCAAGCAAACCAACAGCAACAACAGTGCTTGGAATCCACAGGGTGTTCAACTACTTACAGAACACTGCGGACATAGGGCTGGTCTATGGAGGAGAGGACTTGGTGCTCCGCGGATACACAGACTCGGATTATGCGAACGAAATAGGGCGTCACTCTGTTGGAGGCTACGTGTTTACCGAAAGGAGGAGCTGCTGTCAGTTGGAGGACTAAACGGCAAACTGTTATTGCAACATCAACAGCTGAAACGGAATACATTGCCCTGTTCGAAGGGGCAAGGGAAGCTACATACCTTCGCCGCTTGTGTGAAGACCTCGGTTTTCGACAGCAAGAACCTACTGTCATCTTTGTGGATAACCAAAGCACAATTGCACTAGCAACCGGGGAGCAGATGAGTCAACGCATCAAGCACATGGACGTCCGTTACCATTGGATGCGGAAGGCCGTTCGTGATGGAGTTGTGCGGCCGGAGTACTGCCCGACAGCTCAGCAGGCTGCGGATTATCTCACCAAGCCCCTCACAGCAAAGCAACATCTCACCTGCAGCCTCTTGTGCGGTCTCCAACCACTTCCACATGGAGCCCCGTCTGCACCCAGTCCTCACATTGAAGCCGCTGGAGCTGCACTCTCATGTCCGGGCTTCTCAAAGGGTGCTGGACAACAAGGCATCACGTAACTCCACACATCTCACTCATGTGTTTGGTGCTGTGTGCGTGCTCACGCAGGTGCATGACTACCAACACACGAGTGAGAGGGGGAGTGGGGTGTGGAGTATTTTGGGGTGCAACCATTCGGGATCTGATCGCACAACCATCTTTCATTTTTGCCATTACAAGAGTCAGCACATATGCATCAAGAGAAGACCTACTGCAATCAGTGACAAGAGCAGCCATCAAATTCTGTTGGACAGTCACTGCTGGTCTGTCACAACCACTCGCCAGCTGCAACGGCCATTCCTGATGACTTCATATGCCTGCTGGTTTCAAGGGGGGAAGAAACAAGTCAGCATGAGTCAGCATGAGGCAAGCAGACAGAGGAAATCACAAGAAGAAGCTGACAAAGTCCTACTAAATACAAGGGAAGACAGCTGGAGTCAGGCGCTGCTGGGACTGCTCACCAAGGTGACACAGGTGCTGCTGATACCGCTGCCACCCAGTGCTGGAGCTGCACCAGTGCAAGCGGCCAGGGCATCAGGGAGAACTGCTGCAGGCCCGGTGCTGCAGGGCGTCAGGGGAGCTACTGCAAGCGACCAGGTGATGCTGCTGCCACCAGTCAGATGGTGCTGGCAGACGTTTGCAGAAGCAGCCGCCAGGTGCAGGAGCGGCCGCCAGGTGCAGGAGCAACCGCCCGGCGCTTGTGTACCAGTTGCAGCTGCTTCCGTCCGCCACCTGGTATAGGGGGAGTGGCACAGGGCAACATGGAGCAACACAGGGTCAAGGGGGGGGCAGCGCAGGGTAACATCACAGGGTACAAAGGGTAACATGGGTGAAACAGTCAGGTTCGACGAAGCATTCTCACCTCGGTAGGAAGGAGAAAGTCGTGCGCTGCCAGGAGTAGCAGCAGTGGGCCGCCAGGAGTAGCAGTAGTGGGCCGCCAGAAGTAGCAGCAGTGGGCCGCCAGGAGCAGCAGCCGTGCGCCACCAGGAGCTGCAAACGTGCGCGCCAGAGCGCCAGGTGCCGATGCCGGCTGCAGCCGCTCACGCTCGCTAGCTGGTATGGGCGGGGGCAAGGAAAGTCACAAGAGAATGTGGGAGCAGTAACAAGTGACTTAACACGGTCAGTGCTGTACTACATCAATTGCAAGGAACACACATGGGTGATGAAGAGGTCAAGGTGCAAGCAATGGTAGTTATACGGTGAAGGGCTACTCACCTCGTCACGACAGAGTAGGCACGCAGCTGCAGCGGTGCGGCGTCGGAAGCTGCTGGTGTGAGAAGGCCGCGCACCTGCCAAGAGCCAAGTGTCGCAGTGCAGATGCTGCCACACTAGCACAAGGTCGCCCGAAATGGCAAGGGGAGGGCGCGCACCAGCAGAAGCCGCCACATGCGATGTAATGCAGCGGCGTGCATGCTGCTGCAGTCGTGCGCCAGCCGCTGCTGCCGATCGCCACGGGCGCCATGAACAGCAGTCGCGCGCAAGGAGCTGCAGCGCGCAGGCTGTCAAGCGAGGAGGTCACGGCAGCCGCGCGACCGAAGCAGCAGTCGCGGATCTGGCCGCAGCCGCAAGAAACGCACTGCAGGTCGTCACGTGCGATGCTGTCACCGAGCGCCAGCCATAACATGGCGAGCGCTAGTGATGCGCGCTAGCTACAGCTGAAGGACATCGCGCCATGGCGCAGCGCAACGCACACCGAATTAAAAAAAATCGTCGCGACTAAAGCAGCAGTCGCGCGACAGCAAAGGAAATCGGGTCAGCACTGGAAGGCAGAAAAAGCAGCGCGTCATAGGTCACATGACCAGAAAGAAGCCGTGCGCCATGAAGATATTCGCCAGCAGTAGCTATCCTAAGACCAAGGGAGGCAATCCGCCCTGCTGCTGGGAATCGCGCTGACCTAAACTGTCATTTCACCGTGGAAATTGCAGCTTGAGCAGCAGCCATCGTTCTGGAGGTCCTGCATGAAACGAAAGATTGGGAATCGAGAATGACGAGACAGCCAGACCCCTTCTGGAGAAGGGTGTGGGAGAAACGGGAGCTGTGAAAAGCGACAAACTGAAAGGAGAGCTTGACAGGGGAGTGTACAGTGCACGGGAGTTCGAGAAGCGGGGACGAGAATCAGAAACCCTAGGAGGGAGGAACTTGTGTTGCGACAAACAAGCCAGGTCGCCAACTTGGGAGGAACGTGCACCTGCTACAGAAATTTCCGACCATCGCGATTTCCCACCAATGCAGTTTCTGACCACGAAACGGTCAACGTAAATCAAACCGCCGCAATCCCCGCCGGAACTAAAATCACTTCCGCAATCAACTCCACTCAATCAATCCTGCCGCAATCAACGCCAGTTACAGGTATCCTCCAAGCAGGGCTGGCGCTTCAAATTTAGGTACCCTGAGTTCAACCTAAAAAAAAAAAAATTTACCCTGAAGGCACATTTTCCAGAAAAACAGCACCCTGATTGCTCAGGGTTGAGAAGTAGTGAACTCTGAATGTTCAGGGTCGAGAATTGAAAATCAGGGTCGTAGTAACGCGCTCTTTCTTTACCGAGGACAGAAGTCTCACTCAATCAGAAGTCTCATTCTTTACCCTAATCGCAACATCTGCTCGAAATCTGACAGTCTACGGGGAATTCAAGCAGAATCTGCCTTGACCTAGCGCAAAAGGGATTTCCGTGCGGAGCAGAGGTCGAATCTGCTGTTGGTGTCGCAAGGGTGACTGTGACTGGCGCTGTGACTGGCGCGCTGTGACTTGCGATGTGACTGGCAATGTGACTGGCACTGTGGCGATGTGACTGGCGCTGTGTTAGAGCACATCTATTTCGACCAATAACAGCAACCTAAAATCTGACATTACAGATTCGCCCGATCTAGATGGTGGGTGTATGGGAACGAAACTTCGAAGAAACTTCGTCTCGATAAAGCGAGGGGGGGGAGGATTACGCACGTGGGGGGCACTGAAATCAATGCGAAGGGGTTATCAGGAGGAAATTTCCGAGAAACTTCGCCCCGATAACATCGCATTCAGGGTCCACAGGCCTCGTACTCTGTATTGACAGGGTCCGTGAAAACCCTACACTGAGAGTGTACACAAAATTTCAGGGTCCGCTAAAGCAATACTCTGAATGGATCAGGGACCAAAATGTGAAAAACCTGATTTCTCAGGGTCCAGAAAGTGACAAGTCTGAAATCACCCTAAAATCAGGGTAATTACCCTAATAAAATCAGCCCTGCCTCCAAGACAAAACGCAGTAAAACCTACAGCAAGGGGGAGTGTTAAATACACCAACATAAGATATTACAAATGCTGTTAGATTTTATTGTAGTGTTCCTTTATAAGACTCCCAGCCCTCCGATAATTGTACAATTATTGGAAGGCCAGAATTATTGGAGTCTAGAATTATTGGAGGGTAAGAATTATTGGCGGGTAGAATTATTGGTGTAGGATTATTGGTGTGGACAGGGCCCTCCTGATGGGGTGAGCTGCTGACATATATACCCTGCTCTGTCATTCCAGGAAATCAATCAAATCCATTATTCTCGTTCTGCTTTCAACCATTCAGTACAAGTCTTCCAGCCTTGCTCTTTCTACAAACTAGCTTCCGCAACGCCGGCATCATGCCTTTCTAGCAAGAGGCTTGTGTTGTGATGTGATGTGAGTGAGGCCTGTTGTTATATTTGTAATCTTAAGGATTCACTTTCCTGGCGTCATCCTGGTTGCTCCGCTGCCAACTCCTCCGCGCTAAGCCTGAAGAATGGCTAAATATTAGTGCTTTACCCTTCTACTGTTTATTGCTTACCTCATGCCTCGGCTTGCATTCTACTATTTTGCCCCCATATAGCAATCCCGGTTGCCTCAGGCTTTTGCATGCGATTACTTGCTGAGGCATCGTCTAACAGCGCGTACAACCTGACAAGCTCTAGCTTCCCCCGCCTGAGCTCGACTCCACAGCGGAACCCTCGAGTTCATAAGGATACAGACTCTTCAAGATACCTGCCTAGTGTTGCTGCCGTACAGCCATCTCTACGCCGCCTCTTCGTGAACTCGGGCCATCATCCCTCACGTTCCGTCGATTAATCTTTCCGTAAGTACTCTGCTTCCAGTGTATCAACAAGCCTATTTTTTCTCTCTCGGTTTTTCGTCTTCCGATTGCTGAGAAGCCGCAGTCTTCTTCTGTTTACCGCGTGATAATACCCGCTCGATCTTATCGTTGTTCATTTGTTTTCGCCATCGTTGCTTTTTTCTCAACTGGTTTCGCAACCAGCAGAGCGAAGCGCTCACCATGACGGACGTCAGCAGTGCGCTTCGGGAGCAGCAGAAGCTGCTGCAGTCGGCCCGCGCATTGACGCACATGAAGGGTCCCGGCGATCGGATCACGAGCGTCGTCATCCCGTCCGTGCTCGCACTGACCGCCGCCGCGCTCATTGTAAGACAGGATGCTGTGGCCCCGTACTGGACGCTCTGGACCTCATTGAACCGTAGTGTAGAACGTAGAATCGCTCTGAGTGAGCGGAATCCGTTGCAGTCAGCTCGATCCTTCACGCACATGAGGGGTCCCGACTCCCGGTGATCGGATCACGAGCGTCGACATTCCGTCCGTGCTCGCGCTGGTCGCTGCCGTGCTTATTGTCAGAAGCTTTCCGCCCACGAGATCGCACTCTACCGCATGAACTCGCCTTTTGAGGCGCCTCAAAAATGTTCCGTCCGTTCTCACGGTGCGCGCACCATGCTCATCCTGAGGCGCATCAACTCGAACAGAGTTTCGCTGCGCTTATCGAAAGTACGGACTCTCACGACCTGCACAGTGCGAACGCTTTTGGCCCTCTCCTTCGCGCTGCATTTTTCAAAAGGACTCTTGACTGAGAGCGCATGAGAGTCGGGACTTTTATGGAAGGTCACTGTCCATAAACGGCCGTTTTGTATCTTCTGCGATCTTTGAGGTTCGTCTCCTTTGGTCGTCTCCTCTGGTCATACTTAGCTAATCTAATACCTGGTTCCATTCCCTTTTGTGCTGCTGGTGGGTTGCAGGGCAGGGGCTTGTTCAACATGTCTTTTGGGATTGGCAAGAAAGAGTGAAGGTCCTTTCAGGGATTGTGATTCTTTTGTATGACGTCTGTAATTTGACACTCAACTACCAGTATCAGCATCAGTCTCGGTGTTCACTTTTGTGGACTGCAATACTGTGCTGTGAATATTTCTCCTTTGCACCTTTCTCACGTATTGCAGCTTTAGGTGGTAAAGCTTACCGATATCATGCATGGAACACAAGTACTGGTACCGCTGTTTGAAGAATTCTGGAAGAGATGAGTCCCATCTTCACCCAGTTTTTCCTAGGATGCGCATGTTTTGGGCAGGATGTGCAAGTTTTTTGCAGGATGTGCATGGGCACATACATATATTGTCAGAAGAATGCAGAAAAGATTTGCACTGCACCCAGATTTTTGCAGGATGTGCGGGTCCGTTGTCATAAGCTGATGAATGATAAGCCCAGGTCACATCACATGTAAATGTTACGTATATACAATATAACAATGCAGACACTGGACGCTGTCAAAAACTGGGGTACCGCATTGTGTGTCAAGAGCAACCCTTCAGCAGCACTGCTCAGACCACTGAACGTGCTTCTGGGGGACAACTATCCTCCCATCCTCCACATTCCCATACGCCGGCAGCGCATCATGAGACCTATGCATCTTCTTCAACCCCCCACTGCTGCCTCCTCCCCCAGCCGCCACCTGCGACGACCCCTGTGGTTCCCGAGTCAGGATTTCAGAGAGGCTGCAGCTGCTGCTGCTGCCAGTTGCACCGCTTGAGCTGTACTTGCCTCTTAACTCACCCCTGGACTTCCCGGAAGTAGGGCTGCGAGTGCTGGTGCTGCTGCCGGCACTGCTTCCTGCAAAACTAGAGCTGCTGTTGCCATTGCTGTTGTATTCCTCCGCTTGATCCGTGAGGAGGGGAGTGAAGCACGGGTGTCGAGGGCGGAGGTGGGAGGAGCTATCACGAGGCAAAGATTCACTTGAACCACCAGCACCAGCGCCACCAGCACCAGCAGCTGCTGCTCTAGCCACAGCAACTCGAGCATGAGTCACAGCCGCGTCCCTCTCTGCTCTCATCACCTCCAACTGCCGCTTAATCTCCGCATACTGCCTCTTAGTCTCCGATAACTCACGCTTTAATTCCCCATTTTCCATCTCCGTCCTTATCTTCTCTGCCTCAACCCGCGCCAGCTCCTCCGCCTTTTCCGCGTCCGACGTGGACCAAGCTGCCAGCGTGGCTTCCATCTCAACCACCAGCAAATCGCGCTCCGCCCGAGCCGCATCCATGGCTTCCCGCGATTCGCGGGCCTCCTTCCGAGCTTCTTCCAGCGAGACCGCCAGCTGCTGCGTGGTAACTGAGAACGCTTCGAGCTTATTCTGAAGCTCCTCGAACCCGCTTGCGAGCCATTGCCCCTCCCTCGCCGCATCTGCCGCCGCGGCAGCCGCTGCGGTGACTTCAAGGCCCGCAACCACCGCTTCCGCAGCGACGTTACACTTGCTTGAGCTGCGCTTGCTTTTACAGAGTCGCGAGGCTGCTGTTAGCGGGGATGACGGCGACTCGGCCATTGCAGCTGCGACGCTCGTGTGACTGAGCGCGTCGCATACCTCCCATGCCGACTCTCGCGGGGGAGACGTCTTTAAAATGCTCCTCTGCTGCTGACGAGGCTCGAGCTGCGATGAGGAACTGTTGTGGTGGCGGCTCGGCCTTTCGGGGCGCTCCGACTGCGAAACCTTCCGCAGGCGGCGCCGTTCCTCGCGGCGCTCCTCGCGGCTCTCGTCGCGATGCTGGTCTTTGAGAACGAGTCGCGCGTCGGGCGACGAAGGCGAGCAGGGGGAAATGTGGCCGGGATTCGACTGCTGCCGCGTCTTTCGCGGCGGAAGTTTCGGCGAAGGGACCGAGTAGTCTATTCCCATGCGGTGCGGCGACGGCGACGGCGACAGCAACGGGGACGGCGAGGGGGGCCTTGGAGACGGTACTTGTAGCGACTCGACCCCACCGACGAGCAGCCGAACCGCGAGGCGACGCGACGAGGAGGGAGAGTTGAAGTGGCTCGATGACCGCTGCGCCGGCTCGAAGGGTACTGACTCGGTGGACGAGCCGCCATCAACGGACGCGGACCGCGAGAAGCGGGAGAGAATGTCGTCGACGCGGCGCTGATTGGCCGAGGACGACGGTGATGGCACGCTATTGGACGCTGGAACGCGGACTCGCGTGGAGCTAGGAGGCGTCATTGGCGGAGAAATAGTGAGATGACGTGGAATAAATGGCGTGGAGCGAGTACGACCGGGCAGTGGTATTGGACAATTGTCCTGGAAAAGTTTTATGAATGAATTCAGCGCTGCGTAAGTTAAATCAGAGATCAAGGAGAAATTAAGTATGCGAGAGGGTGGTTGATTTATGCGACGCAATTTGTGGAAATCGAGCTGCAGCTATTTATGGTACGAGAGGGTTTGCGCTGCGAGGGCTTTCAACGAGATCCAAGAAAATCTGGCGGTAGGAACGTCTGTTGTTGGAGGGTTGTTCAAGGACGACTGGTCAGGAAGAGCGATGATAGTGGGATGAGTGACAGGCATGTGGTTTCTCGTTCTTATGCACAGCTGCGCCGAAGTTCTGAGAGGGCTGCTGCTGACGAAAGCTGTGCTTGATTCAGTCTCGCTGCCTGCATCGTTCTTGTTTGCTCCTCGCATCGCGCCAGCCATCCATTGTTCTGCTCCCTGCTCTCACGCTGTCGATGCCGCTGCTGACGAGGAGTCTCTCGAGTCTTCTCCCTTCACCACCGCCGGAAAACGCTTTGAACAATTGCAAAAGCGTTTTTACCATGCTATACCGAGTGTTCTGTTATTCGTAAGACGAATCTTGCCTACTTTCTGACCCAGAAATCCTATCAAATCGAAACGGAACAAAGTGTACTCCTCAGGTAGTGGTCGGCGCAGTGTGGTTCGTTCAAATTTTAGGGTTGAGGCTCCCGAATGGCATGAAGTCCGAATGGGTTTTAGTTTTTTCTGCCCGCGGTCAGAATGCTGACTCACTCGGTAGTGACGTCTAGCGAAATGGTAGCGCTACCGATCCTACCGAGTGAGATGTATTTGGAAAACCCTCCACAATACTGTACAGTACTTACTCCCCAATGAATTGAAACTCGAGATTTGAAACGATTTCGCTAAGTGTGGGGGTCGCAGAAAGTCGACACTGGTTGAACAGAGCGGTTACACGTGTTTGAATCTCGAAAAAAAAAATAACGAAAATTATGCGAAATGCCTGTTGATAGATTACTTGTTCTGAGATGTTTAGGTAAGAGAGAAATCATCGCGGGCGGTAGATATTCCATGCTGTGGAAAGGCTTGAAATTGAAGTGCTGTGGAATCAACTTGTTTTATGTTCACTCAGAACATCAGCAAGCTGTGTCTGCTTCTGCCCTTTAGACACAGCCGTGAAAGTCGGTGATTCGTAAACAAGCACAACAATACAAAATGCGTTTTGTAGTTGCTATGAGATGAGGCTACACTTCGGTCAGCACACACAGAAGGGCTGGGTGGTCGACGTGATAGATGGCCCCCACGCGCACTCCACATCCGCAAATCTTACAGAGCAGAACAGCTGTAAATTTTAAACATCCATACAGAAAAAAATATTCTTGCCCGTGAAAAGGGCATGGCACTGATGGTGTGCAAGTGTGGGGGGCAGTCACTTGTCTCGTACAGCACGACAGGAGAAGATACAGAAAGAGGCGGTTTCCAAACCGCACGAACGAAAATGATTCGTTCGCACGCGAAGAAACGGCACCACCAGTGGCATCTCAGGAAACGGGCCAGGTGTAACAAATTCGCGAGAGCTGATTTGCTTCTGGGATGTCGATCAACAAACAAACCGCACCTGCCAGCCACCACCTTCCCGCATCCCCCCCACTCTCTCTCCCCTCTACGCCCAAGGCCTCCTCCACCCCCCACCCCCCTCCCTGTCCCGCCTAACCTCCCCTCTTAGCCTGTCCTTGTTCCCCCTCCCCTCCCCTCTCCCTCCCAGCCTCCCCCAACTTGCATGGATGGGCTGGGGGAATGGGAGGGATTATGGGAGATGCCTGTGGGAGGCAGAGCAGACAGATTCAGCTGGACCGCCAACTACAGTAACCCAAGGCCTAGCTGGCAGCCACTGCCGCTAAACCTGTAACGGCGAGATTTCATCTCCTCGTCTCCTCCCCACAACAAGCAGCTCGATGCGGCTGACGCGAACAATAGTGGCCGTACGAAGGGAGCTGCCGAACTCTCGGTAACGCACGCACTGCAGTACACTCCTGCCTGTGGGAGGGGAGGGAGGGAGGTTAGGGGACGGAACGCAAGCACCTTGCCTTGCCACGTGTTCACGGAAGCTGCCCAAACTGCCACTCGATCGCAGCAGGTCTGAGCCGAGAGACACACAACAATCAACAGTGATTGACCCATTATTTGTAATACAATGTACAAAGAACTTTGGAACACTTCTGCACTTCCGTAACCCAAACTCTTAATATCAAATTCAGTCAGGGGTAAGGTAAGCTTTACATGGAATTGCTCAACAATTTCGCAACAGGAAAAAAACATATGCATTGTTTTGCATCTGAGAAGGAACTCTAGGAAACAGGGCTGCTGCTAACGGAGAGGTTAGTGGCATAAGGAGAGCGAGGAGACAAGCTTGAAAACCGGAGAGGCGGGCTGCCTGGCGAGAAAAACAACGCAGCATGCCCGGGAACTCTTGACTGGCTGGCTGGAGAACGAGGGGAAAATCCCGGAGAGGAACAGCGAGGTGATCTAGGAGGATACGACGGGGATCGCGGCGGGTAGGGGGGAGATCTTGGGGGATAAGAGGGTGATCGGGTGTGTCTCGCCTGCTGCTGTTGGTACATGTGCTGCTGTTGATGGGATGGAGACCTGGGCGGCAAGCTCTGTCTGGTAGTATAGGTTGGGTGCTGTGGGGGACGAGACCCTTCGTTACAAGAACGTGAGTCGGTAGAAGAATTGGAATCTGGAGGAGAACTCCTGCTCGCTCTAAGATTGCCGCTTTCTTGCTGCTGCAGCTGTTGCTGCTGGTGCTGCTGCTGGCCCTGCCTCCGCTCTCTCTCATCGTCTGTCTCCGTCACAAGAAAATCCACCCAGAGGTCAGTGAGGGACTGCAGGGAGGGAGACACGGGCACAAGGAGAACACAGTGACAGAGAAACTTCAGCATTTTTCCTTGCTAATATGGCCGCTGCTGCTGGCCCGGCCTCCGCTCTCTGTCTCCGTCACAAGAAAATCCACCCAGAGGTCAGTCAAGGACTGCAGGGTTCGGGGTTCGGGTTTAGAGGTAAGAGACAGGGAGCACAGGGAGAAAGCTATGACTTTATACAGTTGGCGTCTGTCCTCTTCACAAGAAAATCCACCAAGAGGTCAGTGAAAGACAGCAGGGTAGAAAACGGAAGCAAGAATTTTGAAATCACCACAAGAAATCACCACAACAAGTGACAACTTTCGAAGAAAACGTGAAGGAAAGGCATGGTGAAGCAACGTCTTACCCCTGCTTTTCTTGCTTCTGGCTTTCTTTCTGCCTCGTGCTGCCCATGAGAATCCCTCCCAGGCTCTCCCAGATTCTCCGAAACGCTCCTATTTGACCCCAAAAACCCGCCCGCAATCCGTCCGGGCAGCCCGAAAACTCCTCCTTTGCTGCCCTTGCTGCTGCCCTGCCGCACGCTCCCCTTGGATTTGAAACTGGCACTTCTGGTGAGAGCGGGGTGCGAAGCTGCCAGCTCTAGCTGCTGCCTCTCGTCCTTGGAGCATTCAAGAATGCGACACATGATGTCAAGCACCTGTTGAGGGACACATGATGCACAGAGAGAGATTTAGGCGCCTCACAAGAGTGCTTCTGGTGAGATTGACGTGGGAAGCTGCTGCCTCTCGTCCTTGGAGCTGTCAAGGATGCGACACATGATGTCAAGCACTTGTCGGTGGGATGCATGCCATTGGGATGAGAGCTCTGATGAAAGTGAAAATGCAGCTGAAACAATCGCGGACACAACACATCATCTGAGGAACGGATTGTACGGCGCACGGGCATGGGCATGGGCATGGGCATGGGCATGGGCACAGCCGGGAGTGGTTGGTGGTATGCAGTTTCTCAAAAACGAGGTCGACACCTCTCAGTTGAATGGGAATGAACTCAAAGCACTCAGGGATGTGCCATGCCCATGCCCATGCCCATGCCCATGCCCACGCCCATGTGCTCACCTCTCTGCTGCGGTTGCGTTGAAAATACGCCACTAGCAGCTTCACCACAATTCTCCTGCCATGGTAAAAGATTTTCCAAGCGAGTTATATAAAACATGTCAGCTTCGAAACAATTCCCCAGCTTGTTAGTTCGTACCAGCAACAGTAAAATCGTGATGGTAATACATTATGGCAACACATGATGACACCACCGCAGCAGTGCCAGCAGCAATGAAAACATAATGTTTAAACGTGCAATGCCACGTTATTGCCACGTTACGCATAATATTTCCAGCTCAATTGAGTAACGTGGCATTGCACCGCTCACCTGTCCACCATATAAGCAGAATCGCTATTGAGTCGCAGCATACACTGGTCCAGAGCACACTGCAGGCGAAGTAGCTCCTCCTCTAGAGCCCCCCTCTCCCTCCTCCCTGCTGCCACCTCAGATAACGCCTCCTCCAGCTGAGCCTGCCGCTGCCAGCATAACGCCTGTGCTTCCTGATGGGTGAGAGGGACACAGGCAGGGACGAGAAGGAAAGAAAGGAGGGGAGAAGACGACAGTATATGCTCTGTGCTGCCTCAGATAACGCCTCCTCCAGCTGAGCCTGCCTCTGCCAGCATAACGCCTGTGCCTCCTGATGTGTGGGGTAAACACAAGGGGATAAACGAGGAAGGAAGAAGACAATATATGATCTGTAGTGCCTCACCTCACATAAGGCCTGCTCCTGCTGAGCCTGCCTCTGCCAGCATAACGCCTCAGATAACATCTGCTCCAGCTGAGCCTGCTGCGGCCACCTGAGATAACACCTGCCATCTGCCACCTGAGATAACACCTGCCATCTGCCACCTGAAAGAACGCCTGCCATTTGCCACCTGAAAGAACGCCTACCATCCTCCAATTACTTAGATGGGCCATACTAGCATTTCCTAGCAACAACCAAGATTCACCTGCAGGTTGCCCTAGCGCACACAACTCTTCACCCATCCTCGCACTCCTCTCCTCTGCTCTCGCCCTCCCCTCCTCCGCCCGAGCCCGTTCCGCCTCCAGCCTCTTATTCTCCTCCACCAGAGCTGCGATTTCACGCTGCCTCCCTGCCTCAGACACACCAGTTTCCTGCCTCCCTGCCTTCTCCCGCTGCGTTCCTGGCCCCCTGGAGTGACGAGCATCAAGACTAAGCAACGGGGTTGATATATTCAGGTGCACCCTGTGCTGCCACCCAGCCTCAGACCCACCAGGCACAGCCCTGCTTCGGTGCGAATCAGAGCTATGTAGAGCCTTGTGGGAGAGCGATGGGGTAGATGTGTGCTTTTGGGGTTGATGGGATTTGAAGGCAACTGCTTCTTGTGAAGGGGCTTCTTGTAAAGGTGTTTCTTGTAAAGGTGTTTCTTGTAAAGGGGCTTCTTGTAAAGGGGTTTCTTGTAAAGGGGTTTCTTGTGAAGAGGCTTGCTGCGTCACAGATTCTTGTATCTGCTCGCCTTGAGCTGGTAACAAGACCTGAAAGGGCTGGCCATGGCGCAATGTGACTGGCGATGGTGATGGCGACAGCTGTTCAAACACTGGTGCTGTTGCATCCACACCCTCTGCTGCTTCCTGTGATGACTGTGCTGCTACGCACGTCGCCTCTCGAGTTAACACCTGCGCCGAGTTTTGATGCGCCTGCTCATAAGCTGGTATCGCTGCAGCGGGAGAAGCATCTACACACGATGCTGCTGCAGCACCTGACGCATATGAAGCTGATGGTGCTGCAGATGCTGACCCATCAGCAGCACGAGCATCTGCAATTGAGGCTGCTGCCCCTGTACCTGCCCCCGATGCATGATGGAATGCCACGTCAGCATGTGATGCATGATGGGATGCCATGTCAGCATGTGACGCAGCTCCATCCTCCATGGGCTGTATGCTTGCCAGCATCCCAGCATGCAAGCTCATGGGATGGCCCGTGACGATTGGCCGATGAGCCGCTTCTAACACCTGCCTTAACACATCTGGTAACACACCTGGTAACGTGCCTGTTGCCAAGCCTGCTCCCAAGCCTGGTGCCGAACCTGGTGTCACGTCTGGTAACGCCTCTTTTCGGCTCATGCCTTGTCTCTCCTGTTTCTCCTCTCCCCAACCCCTCGCTTCCTCAACTTCCTCTGCCCTTACAACCCCACCCTCTCCTCTTACATCTAGAAAGCCCCCATCACGCATTTCCACCTGCCTCGCCTGTCCACCAGGCTCGGTCCGAGCCTGCAGCCGAGCCAGCTGAATCCGAGCCTCCCGAACCTCCCTGCTCCTCTCCTCCAGCTGCTGGTCCAGCTGCGTTCTCCGCCGTTCCGATTGGCTGAGCTGGCTTGCCTTATCCGCCAGCTGTCGTTCCAATACGACCCTCTCGCACTCTGATTGGCCGAGTGCCTTTCCCTTATCCGCCAGCTGGCACTCCAGATGGCGGATCCTCTCAGCCTCTCGCTCCAATCGCAGTGCATCATCAGCATCCTGAAACAGCAGAAAAGAAGAGAATGGAGAAAGTCGCGAGATGACTGGTATATTCTTCTAGAATCCTCAGAGTAATACACTGCATACGCGATTGAAGAAGTGTTTTGAGACGTCTCAAAACACTTCTTCAATCTCAGAGTAATACCATGCATACGCAGTCTCTCACAAGCATCCTACCGCACAGCAACAAATGAAAAGAGAGAGTATGGGGATACATAGTGCAAGGTGACCGCACACACACTGTGTGTTCTCCCACAAGAGAGAGTACGGAGAATTTGTGGGAGAACACACAATGTGTGTGTGATCAAGATACATAGTGCAAGGTGAAGGTATGGGTAAACACGGGCAAACTAGAGGAAGGCTTGCGGGTGAGGAGCTTCTCGCTCGCCCAGCAACCTTCTTCTACTATCACCACCACCACCCACTCAACCCTCGTGTGATGAGTCAATTTTTAGTCGACTCAAAAATCGAACCTTCTTCTAATATCACCACCACCACCCACTCAACCCTCCCACGACCACCCTCCAAAACATCCCCACCACCACCATCACTCACCTTCCTCCACCACCCTCCCAACCTTCCCCACCACCATCACCCACCCGATCCAGCAGGTGTTGCTGCAGCCGGCTCAGATTCCGTGCCAACCGTTCTCTCTCCCTCTCCACCTCTCCCAACCGCGCCTCCACCTCCGCAAACCGAGCAGCAGCCTCTTCTGCAGCCCTCACCCGCCTCCTCTCCTCCAACCCTGCCTGTGCCGCCAACGCCTCTGCTGCTTTCGCCTCTAACTCCTCTCTCTGCAGCTTCAGAGAAGCATCAAAAGCCGCCTCTCTAACACCTGCTTCCTGTAGTTGCTCCTGCAGGCCCTGCACCTCTGCTGCCTTGGATTCTAACTCCTCTCGCTGCAGCTTCAGGGACGCGTCAAAAGCTGCCTCGCGGGAGATTGCTTCGTCTAACCGCTCCTGCAGCTCTGCTGCTTCTGCTGCTCGTGCTGCCAACGCCACTGCTGCTTTCGCCTCGAGCTCCTCTCGCTGCTGCTTCAGAGAAGCTTCCAAACCCGCCTCTCTGGTTTCTGCTGCGTGTAATCTCACCTGCAGCTCCTGTATCACTACTGCCTTTGCTTCTAGCTCCTCTCCTTGCACCTGCAGTGCTGCCTCCAAAGCAGCCCCTCGAGCATCTGCTGCTGCTTCCAGCTGTTTTGGTGCGACTGCTGCATTCTCTGATTCTGCTGCTTTGGCCTCTCGCGTTTCAAGTGCTGTTGCTCCTGCCAGCGCTACACCCTTTGCCGCCCGCGCTTCACCCGATGCTGCCCGCGCTTCCCCCTCTGCTCCCCACGCCACACCCTCTGCTGCCAGAGCCTTGGCTTCTTCTGTCCGCATTTCGGCATCATGAGAAGACTCTGCTGGCTCGGATGGACACGTGGCATCATCGGATTGGTCAACCTCCAGCGGGTGTACGTTGGCAGGTTGGTCTGTTGAAGGCCCAGAGCCATCCGCGGAACCAGAAAGCCTTCTTGTCGCTCTCTCGTGAAAAGCGTGCCATTGGTCCAGCTTTCTCGTGAGCTTGAGCTGACGTGGCAAGGGTGATTGTAGTGACAGAGGAGGACGGTCGTGGATGAATGGGTCGGGGAAAAAGGGGCACGAACGGATGGGAAATTAGCAGAGTAGAAAGCTCAGCCGTAGTGTAAATGAACAAAGAAGTGGCCTATTCACAAAACTTGTTCACCCTTTTTTTTTAAGAGAAAAAAACAAAAAGGATATTTTTTTTCTTCTTCTTTTGACGTTGTTTGCAAGCAATCAGCATATTCTTTTCGTATATAGTCTGACCTGGAACGTCGCATCTCTGTCTACATCTGCGACCAGCATTGCCTCAAGCTCCCTCCGGAGTTTCTCAGCCGTCGATTCCAGATGCTGCTGATAACGATCCCGCTGCTCCTGCTGCTCCTGCTCATGCTGCTGCTCATCCAAATTCTGCTGGTTTAGATCACACGGCCGCTGCTGCTGCTCCTGCTGCTCCTGCTGCTCCTGCTGCTCCTGATGCTCCTGCTGCTCCTGCTGCTCCTGATGCTCCTGCTGCTCCTGATGCTCCTGCTGCTCCTGCTGCTCCTGATGCTCCTGCTGCTCCTGATGCTCCTGCTGCTCCTGCTGCTCCTGATGCTCCTGCTGCTCCTGCTGCTCCTGATGCTCCTGCTGCTCCTGATGCTCCTGCTGCTCCTGCTGCTCCTGATGCTCCTGCTGCTCCTGCTGCTCCTGATGCTCCTGCTGCTCCTGCTGCTCCTGATGCTGAAGTCGCCAAAACGGCTCGGTGAACGGCGAGCGACGGTCGCGTGGACTGGAAATTTTCCGCGCCGACGAGCCGCCGCTATGGAAGGCTATGGCGTCCATGCGAGCTCCCTAACGGTAATGACTTAACTCATGTCCGAACTGCGGTAGTAGCTAGACAGTACCAGTCGCCGCTCCATGCGAACTCCGTCAATGTTAAAACTTTGAACGGCGACGGCAGCTAGACGGAACGAGTTGCTCCGAAAGGCCATAAGAGCTCAATACAAGGACGCGTGTCACGCTCGAACGGCTCAATTTATGATGAGGCAAGGACAACCTGCACGGCTCGGAAGCTACACTATCGGTTTCATCGGTTATATCATTAAAATACTACTAAAATGGTACCTTGTGAGCTTATTACGACCAGATCATTATAGGAGGGTTCGAAGGGAGCGCAAGCGCGGTAGACCGTGATATGCGGGCAATATTGCGAAATGGACGGCCACAGATAGCAGGGAAGACTGACGGAACACGAGGCGTAAAAGAAAAGGGCAGCCTATCCTTGCGACGTGATGTGTGCGCTTGCATTTTCAAGAAACGGAGAAAAGCACTTGGGTTTGTGAAAAGCTCAAACAGAAGCCCACCGCTGCCTGCAAAGCCTCCAGGCAAGATATTATTGTTGACGAACAAGTCAGGTCTTCGCCACACCCTTGGTTTTTCGCGAAAAGAAAATTTCGCCCGGCGGCTCACCCAGCAAATCACGTGTCTGCTGAGTTTCGCGACACCTCGCGACGGCGGGAATCTCGGGGTTCTTGGTGTATGTGACCGGAATATGGGCGCTCGAACGCGTTGAGGTTGCGTTTGGGGATGGCATGACGTCATCACATCGCTCGGCGTGAGGGTATGTCGTAACAATACTTCATGCGGTTTAGGAAGTTAACTGACGGTTTGGTTGACAAAAAAAACGGTTGAGAAGGATTTTTTGGGCAGCCGAACCCTTGTGGCATCATGTAGGGGTTGCATGTATTTCAGCTCCTCGGGCGTATCATCTGGGGTTCCCGGAAATGAAGCAAGATTCGGTTACCACTCGTAACCCTAACCCCAGAATGTTGTGCTTTTGTGTCAAGATGGTAATCCCTTTTGCTGCATTTGGGGCACTGATTCGTTCGGATAGTCGGGCTCCAAGACCCCCCTGGACCCGAATATTTTGTCCGCTTGGCCTCCGTAACGCCGCAGTTGACAAGTCTTGATTATGGAGCGGCCACGATGCTTAGGATGGTCGCTCTTGCGCATCGCGGTCTCGTCAATGGTGCTCGCATTTGTCGCAACCGTCGCGAGAGGTGCGTCGCATTCGTCGCAACCTTGAAGGGACTGTTTTGTCTCCCTCGAGTGATGTTGGGAGATGGAATCCCATTTTGTTTTTATAGCATTAATCATTATAAAAATATCATTCTGTGATTCTTCCTCGCTTGCTCCCGCGAGTTTCATGCGATTAGCTTTTAGTAATGCACCCGGTTTCTCCACCCTCCTCTATCCTGCTGCAAACGCAACTGCAAGCCAACTCCGTTCAAATTCTACTTGTGTGTCGTCCTAAATGCGGTCGCTTTCGCCTCTCCCTATTCACCTTTCCCGCACACCCCCACCCTTGCCCCCCACAACCCCCCCACCCCCTCGTTTTCCCGCTCCATTCCCCTCCGTACCCCTCTCGCCTCTGTCGTGCTGCAACCGCGACCATCGCTCATCTCATTCCCACGTCGACTCAACCCACTCTACCCAATCAGCTGTCAGCGTGACTGAAACACACCTGCGCACACGATGCGCGACTGGCCTCACTCGCCGCTGGACCCCAATTTCTCTTCCCCTGGTCCCTCAACCCACATCCCCACTCCACCTTCTCTCTCCCCCTTAACACCCCCTCCTCGCTCTACTCACATGCAGCTGCCAACGTGACTATAACGCACCTGCGCCTCGACACGACACACGACTCGCCCTACGCGCCCTGGGACCCCTCCGTCTACTTCCAATGTGACGGGGAGATGAAGCACGTGCTGCAGGGGGTGGTGCAGGCTAATGTCACTTACAATTTCACTGGCCAGGAGGAATTTCAGGTGGGTTTCAGGTGAGTTTCAGGTGGTGCAGTTGAAGGGGGGATGCAGCACGTACTGCAGGGGGTTGTGCGGGCTATTGTCCCCTAAAATTTCACTGGCCAGGAGGAATTTCAGGTGGGTAGTGATTGCTGTTGCTACTTCCAATGCAAGAACGAGATGCAGCACATTCTAGATTTTTTTTTTAGACGTCTCGAAACTCATGTTAGACGAGCTGGTGGGGGTTAACAGAACGTGCAACTTCACCAGGCACAAGGCAGTTCAGATGGGTTTCAGGTGGGTTTCAGGTGGGTTTCAGGTGGGCTTCAGGTGGGCTTCAGGTGGGATTCAGGTGGGCTTAAGGTGGGCTTCAGATGGATTTTCCCGCCCTCCCAGTCCCTCATACAGCTCAAATCATCTCGATGCAAGATGTGTGGGCTATACCAGGCGGACCCATTCGCATTCCCTCCCAGTCCCTCTTAAGGTGTGCGCTGAGCTGAGCTGATGAATTGAGTGCAGCAGTTCGACTTTGAGAATCCTCGGCAACCACCGGATGACTTGGAGAGCAGCTGATTCATGATCCCGCCCTCCCTCTCTCTCCACCTTCCTTCTTCCCCTCCGCAAGCACAGCCTTTGGTCGAGCTCGCCTCTGCAGAGTGCAAGACCTGTGGCTTGTACGAAGCTGATACATTCAAAGTGGACGATACGTTTGACAAGTTCCAGCTGTGTGCAGATGACTTCAGGGGCAGCAAGGAGGGGCATGTGACGCGGTGGGTGGATGGGGAGTTTAAGGTGGCGTTCAGTTGCCCCGACTGCCTCAACAGCCACGACCACTCGCCTGTGGAAGGTACATATGAGGTGGGCTATAGAGGGTTGTGGTGGTAAAATTGTGTGGCTTCCGCGGTTCCAAGGAGGGCCATGTGACGCGGTGGGTGCATGGGGAGTTCAAGGTGGTGCTCAGTTGCCAAGACTGCCTCAACAGCCACGACTACTCGCTCGTGGAAGGTACGCACTGGGTGCCTGCTTCACGTACTGAAAGTAGGTACGTAATAGGCTTAGCATGTTCACTCTATCAGGGGGTAAAGAGGTAGGTGCGCTGTCAACACCACCAAGGAGGGCCATGTGACGCGGTGGGTGGATGGGGAGTTCAAATTCGCAATGAGCTGCCCCGATTGCCTCAACAGCCACGACCACTCGCCTATGGAAGGTAGGATATGGGCTAGGCTTGGGACTACTACATCGCTGCCCTGTCCGGGGAAAAGAGGTGGATGTGCTGTCAGGGGCAGCAAGGCAAAGAGGGGCATGTGACGCAATGTGTGGATGGGGAGTTCAAAGTCACAATGACCTGCCCTGACTGCCTCAACAGCCACGACCACTCGCCTGTGGAAGGTACATAGACAACCACTGGGTGACTGCTTCCTCTGTTGAGGGCACACACGCACTGAGAGCTTGGCTTGTATTTTATACACCCTAAACCCTGAAATTAGGAATTATTCCCCTCCTTCCCCTCCTCCCTGCTCCTAGCTCTCGTGCAAGGCACCTCTTTCTACCCGCTGCTCCTGTTCCTTATCTTCCTGTCAGGTGACTTTTGAGTTGACTTGAACGTCACCTCCTTCCCCTCCTCCCTGCTTCTAGATCTCTTTCGAGGCATCTCTGTCTACTCGCTGCTGGCGTTCCTCATTCCTCATCTTCCTCACAGCAGCCATCAGCCATAGGCTGTTTTGAGACGTCTCAAAAGTCATAGGCTGTGCTGCTAGTCTCACCCACTCTCAACTCACTACTCACCCCGCCCTCTCTTCTCCCCTTCCCTTCTCCCAGCTCTCTTACAAGGAGACTCCTGGTACCCGCTGCTGCCATTCCTCATCTTCCTCGCAGCAGCAGCAGCCATCAGCTGCACTGCTGCCCTCCTCCCCTCTATATTCTCCCCCCTTCCCCGATTTCCCCCTTATTTCTCCCCTCCCTTCCCCTATTCCCCCCCTTATTTCTCCCCTCCCTTCCCCTCCCCCCAGCTCTCTTACAAGGCGACTCCTGGTATCCCCTGCTCCCGTTCCTCATCTTCCTCGCAGCAGCAGCAGCAGCCATCAGCTGCATCGCTGCCCTCCTCTCCTGCTGCATAGAGCGCCGCATCTGGCCCTTTCACCAGAAGAATCCCACCCAACCGCTCAGCACCTTGGAGAAACAGCAGCTTGCAGAAGCCACTGCATTCATCGGAAGCAGCGACGAGGAAGAGGAGGATGAGGAGGAGAGGGAGAGAGGGGGCAGTGGGAGAGGGAGGGGAGCAGAAATAGGGATTGAAATGGGGGATCTGGGGAGACGTGGGGTGTCGGATGATGAAGGGGAAGAAATGGGGGGTGGAGGTGTGGGTGGGGTTGGAAGGAGGGGCCAAGGGGATTGCTTGCATGGCAGGCCTTACTCTGTTCCTAGGGAAGATGAGAGGGTGGACGTTTGATAAGGTGATTTGGGCTTTTTCTTGTTTTTTTTTACACATGGACGTTTGACCCCTGGGCCTCTGGGAATGAA